CCAAACCAACGCCCATAGGAACCAAGCTGAGTAATATTATTGCATTACATTTTTTATTTTCCTTTCCTACTCAGAAATATGTTTCGTTCGTGGTCATCTGATGCCAGACTTGACGGTAAAACCGTTATAATTACTGGAGCTAATACTGGAATTGGCAAAGAAACAGCCATCGACCTGGCAAAGAGAGGTAAACAGCCCTATTTCTATACAGTTTAATAATGATATATTGTCAGATGAAACAATTTTACTGATGTCCTGTGTTTAGGAGCACGTATTATTATGGCATGCAGAGATATGGAGAAAACTGATGCAGCCCTGAAGGAAGTTAAGGATGCTTCAGGAAACCAGGATATAGTTGCACGCAGGCTTGACCTGTCAGATTCCAAATCGATCAGAGAATTTGCAGAGAACATCAATAAAGGTGAGATCCCCTGGATACACCATCAATTCCTTTATAAATGTCTTCCTTGTATAGCACTACACTCATGCAACTGGGTTGTCTTTCAGAGGAAAAACAAGTTAACATATTAATCAATAACGCTGGTGTGATGGTTTGTCCTTATGGAAAGACAGCAGATGGTTTGGAAATGCAAATAGGGGTGAACCACATGGGTAAGCATATGTTATTTGTCCAAATCGGACACCATTTTTAACCCTAAAAGAAATTAAGGGATACATCAGCACTGCTCTTCTTCCTGTAGGTCACTTCCTGTTGACGTATCTGTTATTGGATTTGATTAAAAGATCAACGCCTGCGAGGATCATTACCGTCTCGTCCATGGCACACCAATGGGGGACCATCAACCTAGAGGACATCAACAGTGAGAAGAACTATGATAAACAGAAAGCCTACAGTCAGAGCAAGCTGGCAAACATTCTGTTCACTCGCTCACTGGCCAAAAGACTAGAAGGTATGTCTTTTTAAAAATGATATTTACATTACTAAATATAAATATGATCTGCTCTATAAATATGATTTTAATATTTTTTCATTATTTATTTTTAAATTAATTGTAATATTATTATTTGTGTTAACCTAAACGTGATCCGTTCAAGCACACTTTTTATTTGTATTATTTGTATTATTCTAATTTAATTTAATTCCTGTTAAGTGTCAGAAATATTATTTTGAAATATTTTTTTTTGCTCTTCATTTACCATATATTGTAATACACATTTACAGCTTTTCATTTCTGTCAAAAGCTTCAGTTGGATCAATTTTTGATGGTCAATGAAATAAAAAAAAACAGGTGCCCAAAGTGTTTACTATGATGGAACAAAAAAATCTTAATTGAGGGCCATAGGCTGAAAGTAAATCTTGTGCTATAACTATATTATATTAAAATTTACAAATAAACACAATGGCTTATAAACAAACAAACAAAAAATTTAAACGGAGATAAATTAAAAATATATGTTTTTATTATTATTATTTTTCCCCTCTCGATGATTTGGTGATTTAGGTGCCCAAAGTGTTTACTATGATGGAACAAAAAAATCTTAATTGAGGGCCATAGGCTGAAAGTAAATCTTGTGCTATAACTATATTATATTAAAATGTACAAATAAACACAATGGCTTATAAACAAACAAACAAAAAATTTAAACGGAGATAAATTAAAAATATATGTTTTTATTATTATTATTTTTCCCCTCTCGATGATTTGGTGATTTGGGCATCTCTGGTCTAAACCAACTTGAAAGAACTAAAATAGAATATTATAAAACATATAAAATGCTAGATAACAAATGAAAACATATTTTTATATTAATTTAGTTTTTTTGCTCCTGGAACTGGATAATTTCTGACCCTGTCCTCGGTTGTGCATTTGCACTTCAAGTTATTCTATTCCAATAATATAACTGATGCTAAAATAATCCTAATAATCCTTCTCATCTGGTCTTTGTGTGGTGTCTCAGGTACTGGAGTAACAGCGTATGCTCTCCATCCTGGAGTGGTTCAGACTGAACTGTGGAGGCACTTGAATAAACCTCAACAAGCTGCCATGTGGTTGGCAAAGCCCTTCACCAAAACATCTGTGCAGGGAGCTCAGACCACCATCTACTGCGCCGTGGCCCCTGAACTGGAGACCGAGAGCGGCAAATATTACAGGTCAGTGGATATTACACGTCATGTATTGCTCAGAGACACAAAATAGTTCTGATGTGGCTTTGTTTGAAACTATTTATGTTTATGTCTAAAATGTAAGTCACTTAATATTAACTTCTTGTTAATCGAACAACATAAATACACACAACTCCAATAGGTCGTGTTCATAAAACAACTGCAACAGTTCAGGCATGTTTAATTTGTATGTTGGACCATCTTATCTCATACTCACCTGTCTCCTGCTCTCCACACAGTGACTGCGCACCTGCAAAATGCTCCCAGGCTGCAATGGATGATGAGGTTGGCCAGCGCCTCTGGGAACTCAGCTGTAAGATGCTCAGCATCACATGGGAGTGAAAACTCATCTCTCTTCTTGAGGAGTCCTGATGAAGTCTTACTGCAGTCTGCCTAAGACTGGCCCATCTACTGTCAAAATCAGAAATACTAATAGTTAATATTAAACACACTAGCATAAAAGATCACTAAATATAACCAAATACGATGGGCTTTTATACATGATGTAAAATGTAAACACATTTTGTAGATTTTGGTCTCAGGTTGCTTAAGTGAGTTAATTTTCTATATAATACAGGTACATATTTATGCACTAAATGATATAAGAAGTAAATGTCGGTTGAAAAAATGTACTGTGAGTATATGTGAATATTTTTTAATACATTTACATTTTTGTGTCCTGGTTTTCATTTTGAATTTTGTATGACCCAAGGAGAAGAGAATAATAAACAAATAAATATTAAATAATATTTCTACATATATTTGACTTACATATATTTACTTTGGATATTGTACTTTGCATTTTACATAGTTGTCGTCTATGAAGTAATTTGGGGTGGGACCAAAAAACATAATACTATATAATTCATTTTTTCATTCACTACATTTTCTTTTTTTAATAAAGATTATTCCATTTAATCCCAAATATATTTTTAATTTAAGGAAAATATTATAGACTTCATTGGAAACATGAAGTTACATGTAGAATAAATTGGAAATAAACAGTTAAGTACAAGTCAAAAACAATATGATCCAAAAAAAAACAGTTAAAGTCAAAGATGTCAACACTGCAACTCAGCTCTGCTCTCTCTCAGACTTGGTCGCCATGACAATCTCTCATCTCTGCTCTCACCCTGACCCAGTCACCACGACAACCTCTAATCAGCGGCTGCCTTCCTGTGACCCGATCACCATGACAACCGCTAATGGCAGCTCTGCTTCCCCTGACCCAGTCGCCATGACGACCTTCAACTTCAGCTTTTCTCTCCTTGTGACCCGTCACCATGACAACAACTCCTTGCCCAATATAGTGTGATGCAGGAGAACATACAAAAAAGATCACTAGCCTCATCTAGTGGACAAGTGACGAGGCCTGTCATGTCTTGTGTCTCAGAATAAAAATAAAAGTGTTGCTAAATTCCAAAATCCTAAAGAAATTATTTCAGCCAAACCTGTTTTTGGACATGTTCCAAGTAGGCTGCTCTTTGATACTGTAAAATATAAGAGCTGTATCAGTTGTGTGGTAATAATTTGAGGCCCTCAATTATCTCCTATTGGCAAATCACAAGCACTATGAGAGTCCAAACCATTTTTGTTGGAGTAATTAACCACTGAGGTAATTGAAAGACATGAATGGAGCTCTGTGTTCAGTAATGAACTTGTCATTCTCTCCTCACATCCTTCTGTCCTGATGGAGCAAAATGAGCAGAAACCGCGACGTAAGTGCTCTTTCCAACTTAAATTAATTGCTCTATATTTCGAACATATAGCATTTGAGCTGTAGTATACTATTTCCAGGGACGTTAGCCTGTAATTCATAAAAGATTCCAATCCGAACCAAAAAGGTTTTATGGTCTGATGCCAAAGGAAAACATTTACACAAACCTTTTATTGTCTAGTTGTTTAGAATATCATCTATGGTGCTTTAAGGACTCCAGAAACGAAGACACTAATCCGAAGAACATATAACCATAAATTCATATCAGCCCTGTACAGCAAAATGTTTCGATTAGAAGACGATTGTTTGCAGAATCTGATGAACTGCAACAAATCATTAAAGAAGATGTATTTATAATTGCTGGCATTTTTTTTCTCAAATATATATTACTTGGGTTGTAAACAAACCAGCAAGAAAGCTTTTTATTAAATGCAGATCAGATCATGTGACTGATTATTAAAAGTTCTGAGAACACTATGACAATAACTTAAACAAATATCATTTCATTAGGCTATATACAAGGCAGTTTTTTGTGAAGGCAGTTTTTGTTTCACTGTATAATCTTATATAATCCTACATGGAATACGTGTACTTAAAATTAATTTGTCACAGGTGAAAACTCAAGTTATAGAACATTGTCATCAAATTGTACACAAATGTAATACCATCATGAGCGCTGCTGTTAAAGCAAAAATACAACTCAATGCACAATTTAACCTTTTACTTAAATTTCTTAAATTGCTTATAGCCTTATATATAAGTATAACACAATATATCGACATTTGTATTAAATTAGAAAAATGCAAAGAAGGCCTTCGTTACAGAAGCATTACCAAAATAAAAATGTAAAAAATGTTAACCTCGAGAAAATATTCAGACGCCTGCTTATTTCTTAACCATGCATCTACTGACATCTCCTGGTTAAACCAAGAATCACGTTATCTAGTCCATTTTAAACCTAAAATATGCCAGTTCTCTTCGTTTTCCAAATACTAATGATATTTATGTTGACATATAATAAATATAAAAGTCTAGAATACTTTTGCTTTTAAAAAGTGATTGTACAATTGGAAAGAAAAATAGAAATACGTAATAAAGGGCGGGGTTTCATGGGTCTGACCAATCGCAAACTACAATTCCACTAGTCTTCCTTAAACGTCATCTGACTCCTCCCACTAGTTACAGTGCGAGAGTTTTGATAAGACTGTGTTTGTTTTTTGCTGGTTAATCTTATTGATAGTTTTATGAAACTCTCATATTTTTCTGTCTGGATACAAATCATCGTAAAATGCAAGCTCTAAGGTATGAACAGAAATGTATAAGTTGTATTTCATAGATGTTTTATAGATGTCGACAGCAAAATGTTACTCAATAACCAGTTACAGTCATTGTGCCAAGGAAGTAAAGCAAAGGGATTTTCATTCATATGATGAAGATATTTCAGATGTTTTGAATCGAGGACAGAGCAGACATGACTGGGCAAAACATAAAGGATTATGTTTTAATACTTTTCCATTGAGCACGTGAAACTAGGCTAGTTGTCATGTCAAACCAAACCAACGCCCATAGGAACCAAGCTGAGTAATATTATTGCATTACATTTTTTATTTTCCTTTCCTACTCAGAAATATGTTTCGTTCGTGGTCATCTGATGCCAGACTTGACGGTAAAACCGTTATAATTACTGGAGCTAATACTGGAATTGGCAAAGAAACAGCCATCGACCTGGCAAAGAGAGGTAAACAGCCCTATTTCTATACAGTTTAATAATGATATATTGTCAGATGAAACAATTTTACTGATGTCCTGTGTTTAGGAGCACGTATTATTATGGCATGCAGAGATATGGAGAAAACTGATGCAGCCCTGAAGGAAGTTAAGGATGCTTCAGGAAACCAGGATATAGTTGCACGCAGGCTTGACCTGTCAGATTCCAAATCGATCAGAGAATTTGCAGAGAACATCAATAAAGGTGAGATCCCCTGGATACACCATCAATTCCTTTATAAATGTCTTCCTTGTATAGCACTACACTCATGCAACTGGGTTGTCTTTCAGAGGAAAAACAAGTTAACATATTAATCAATAACGCTGGTGTGATGGTTTGTCCTTATGGAAAGACAGCAGATGGTTTGGAAATGCAAATAGGGGTGAACCACATGGGTAAGCATATGTTATTTGTCCAAATCGGACACCATTTTTAACCCTAAAAGAAATTAAGGGATACATCAGCACTGCTCTTCTTCCTGTAGGTCACTTCCTGTTGACGTATCTGTTATTGGATTTGATTAAAAGATCAACGCCTGCGAGGATCATTACCGTCTCGTCCATGGCACACCAATGGGGGACCATCAACCTAGAGGACATCAACAGTGAGAAGAACTATGATAAACAGAAAGCCTACAGTCAGAGCAAGCTGGCAAACATTCTGTTCACTCGCTCACTGGCCAAAAGACTAGAAGGTATGTCTTTTTAAAAATGATATTTACATTACTAAATATAAATATGATCTGCTCTATAAATATGATTTTAATATTTTTTCATTATTTATTTTTAAATTAATTGTAATATTATTATTTGTGTTAACCTAAACGTGATCCGTTCAAGCACACTTTTTATTTGTATTATTTGTATTATTCTAATTTAATTTAATTCCTGTTAAGTGTCAGAAATATTATTTTGAAATATTTTTTTTTGCTCTTCATTTACCATATATTGTAATACACATTTACAGCTTTTCATTTCTGTCAAAAGCTTCAGTTGGATCAATTTTTGATGGTCAATGAAATAAAAAAAAACAGGTGCCCAAAGTGTTTACTATGATGGAACAAAAAAATCTTAATTGAGGGCCATAGGCTGAAAGTAAATCTTGTGCTATAACTATATTATATTAAAATTTACAAATAAACACAATGGCTTATAAACAAACAAACAAAAAATTTAAACGGAGATAAATTAAAAATATATGTTTTTATTATTATTATTTTTCCCCTCTCGATGATTTGGTGATTTGGGCATCTCTGGTCTAAACCAACTTGAAAGAACTAAAATAGAATATTATAAAACATATAAAATGCTAGATAACAAATGAAAACATATTTTTATATTAATTTAGTTTTTTTGCTCCTGGAACTGGATAATTTCTGACCCTGTCCTCGGTTGTGCATTTGCACTTCAAGTTATTCTATTCCAATAATATAACTGATGCTAAAATAATCCTAATAATCCTTCTCATCTGGTCTTTGTGTGGTGTCTCAGGTACTGGAGTAACAGCGTATGCTCTCCATCCTGGAGTGGTTCAGACTGAACTGTGGAGGCACTTGAATAAACCTCAACAAGCTGCCATGTGGTTGGCAAAGCCCTTCACCAAAACATCTGTGCAGGGAGCTCAGACCACCATCTACTGCGCCGTGGCCCCTGAACTGGAGACCGAGAGCGGCAAATATTACAGGTCAGTGGATATTACACGTCATGTATTGCTCAGAGACACAAAATAGTTCTGATGTGGCTTTGTTTGAAACTATTTATGTTTATGTCTAAAATGTAAGTCACTTAATATTAACTTCTTGTTAATCGAACAACATAAATACACACAACTCCAATAGGTCGTGTTCATAAAACAACTGCAACAGTTCAGGCATGTTTAATTTGTATGTTGGACCATCTTATCTCATACTCACCTGTCTCCTGCTCTCCACACAGTGACTGCGCACCTGCAAAATGCTCCCAGGCTGCAATGGATGATGAGGTTGGCCAGCGCCTCTGGGAACTCAGCTGTAAGATGCTCAGCATCACATGGGAGTGAAAACTCATCTCTCTTCTTGAGGAGTCCTGATGAAGTCTTACTGCAGTCTGCCTAAGACTGGCCCATCTACTGTCAAAATCAGAAATACTAATAGTTAATATTAAACACACTAGCATAAAAGATCACTAAATATAACCAAATACGATGGGCTTTTATACATGATGTAAAATGTAAACACATTTTGTAGATTTTGGTCTCAGGTTGCTTAAGTGAGTTAATTTTCTATATAATACAGGTACATATTTATGCACTAAATGATATAAGAAGTAAATGTCGGTTGAAAAAATGTACTGTGAGTATATGTGAATATTTTTTAATACATTTACATTTTTGTGTCCTGGTTTTCATTTTGAATTTTGTATGACCCAAGGAGAAGAGAATAATAAACAAATAAATATTAAATAATATTTCTACATATATTTGACTTACATATATTTACTTTGGATATTGTACTTTGCATTTTACATAGTTGTCGTCTATGAAGTAATTTGGGGTGGGACCAAAAAACATAATACTATATAATTCATTTTTTCATTCACTACATTTTCTTTTTTTAATAAAGATTATTCCATTTAATCCCAAATATATTTTTAATTTAAGGAAAATATTATAGACTTCATTGGAAACATGAAGTTACATGTAGAATAAATTGGAAATAAACAGTTAAGTACAAGTCAAAAACAATATGATCCAAAAAAAAACAGTTAAAGTCAAAGATGTCAACACTGCAACTCAGCTCTGCTCTCTCTCAGACTTGGTCGCCATGACAATCTCTCATCTCTGCTCTCACCCTGACCCAGTCACCACGACAACCTCTAATCAGCGGCTGCCTTCCTGTGACCCGATCACCATGACAACCGCTAATGGCAGCTCTGCTTCCCCTGACCCAGTCGCCATGACGACCTTCAACTTCAGCTTTTCTCTCCTTGTGACCCGTCACCATGACAACAACTCCTTGCCCAATATAGTGTGATGCAGGAGAACATACAAAAAAGATCACTAGCCTCATCTAGTGGACAAGTGACGAGGCCTGTCATGTCTTGTGTCTCAGAATAAAAATAAAAGTGTTGCTAAATTCCAAAATCCTAAAGAAATTATTTCAGCCAAACCTGTTTTTGGACATGTTCCAAGTAGGCTGCTCTTTGATACTGTAAAATATAAGAGCTGTATCAGTTGTGTGGTAATAATTTGAGGCCCTCAATTATCTCCTATTGGCAAATCACAAGCACTATGAGAGTCCAAACCATTTTTGTTGGAGTAATTAACCACTGAGGGAATTGAAAGACATGAATGGAGCTCTGTGTTCAGTAATGAACTTGTCATTCTCTCCTCACATCCTTCTGTCCTGATGGAGCAAAATGAGCAGAAACCGCGACGTAAGTGCTCTTTCCAACTTAAATTAATTGCTCTATATTTCGAACATATAGCATTTGAGCTGTAGTATACTATTTCCAGGGACGTTAGCCTGTAATTCATAAAAGATTCCAATCCGAACCAAAAAGGTTTTATGGTCTGATGCCAAAGGAAAACATTTACACAAACCTTTTATTGTCTAGTTGTTTAGAATATCATCTATGGTGCTTTAAGGACTCCAGAAACGAAGACACTAATCCGAAGAACATATAACCATAAATTCATATCAGCCCTGTACAGCAAAATGTTTCGATTAGAAGACGATTGTTTGCAGAATCTGATGAACTGCAACAAATCATTAAAGAAGATGTATTTATAATTGCTGGCATTTTTTTTCTCAAATATATATTACTTGGGTTGTAAACAAACCAGCAAGAAAGCTTTTTATTAAATGCAGATCAGATCATGTGACTGATTATTAAAAGTTCTGAGAACACTATGACAATAACTTAAACAAATATCATTTCATTAGGCTATATAATGCTAAATTATCACATATTAATAATATATAAATATTAATATATTTATAAATGAAATAGTGGATGGTTAGGAATGGTATGATTTATAAGTATATATATATATAAGCATACTTCAAACTTTTTAGTAATATGTCTATGTGGTTATTTTGTCAGTCTAAATCTAATTTGCTGAATGTGCCCGTGAGTGGTCGCTCTCGGCTTGTTCCCTAGATTTTCACGCAAAACTGCGTCAGGATGTTCAAATACCCCGTATGCATTATGAAGCTCTTTCTAAATCAACTCTTTACTAGTTTATATAGCTAGTTTAAACTTCAAATGCTTCAGACAAAATCCAGATACGGAGAAAGCTAGGTTTAAGTTCATCTAATTTATTTAGCACAGCTTTCTCCCCACTAAACTTTCTTTGAATCTTTCTAAAATGCCGGTGAACATGGCTGGATGCACCACAGACTGCGTGGAGACGCCGATCTCCATCTGCTTCCAGAAGTTCGGCCGCTTTGTGGGAACTTACCCGTGGTGGTTCTTCATCTCTCCTCTGGTCATCTCTGCGGTGTTGGGAAGTGGGTTTTATTTCTTAGAAGATCGTGAGGCCAATGACATTGAGGATCAGTTCACACCTGTGAACGGTCCTGCTAAACTAGAGAGGCAGTTCGTGCAGCAGAACTTTCCGCAGAACGACTCGGTGTTCTCCAACCAGAGACTCTACACGGATGGAGTTTACGCGTCCTTCATAGCGGTGGCAAGATCCTCCAACATCCTCACAGACGCTGTGTTTCAGGAGCTCGTGACTTTAGACAGAAAGGTCAAGGAGCTGAATGTGTCCATGGGTCACGAGGCGCTCACTTTTGAGGGACTTTGCGCGAGACGATACAAGAAATGTACACCCAATAAGATATTGGATATTTACAAATATTATGGTAATCCTCACATCCTTCTGTCCTGATGGAGCAAAATGAGCAGAAACCGCGACGTAAGTGCTCTTTCCAACTTAAATTAATTGCTCTATATTTCGAACATATAGCATTTGAGCTGTAGTATACTATTTCCAGGGACGTTAGCCTGTAATTCATAAAAGATTCCAATCCGAACCAAAAAGGTTTTATGGTCTGATGCCAAAGGAAAACATTTACACAAACCTTTTATTGTCTAGTTGTTTAGAATATCATCTATGGTGCTTTAAGGACTCCAGAAACGAAGACACTAATCCGAAGAACATATAACCATAAATTCATATCAGCCCTGTACAGCAAAATGTTTCGATTAGAAGACGATTGTTTGCAGAATCTGATGAACTGCAACAAATCATTAAAGAAGATGTATTTATAATTGCTGGCATTTTTTTTCTCAAATATATATTACTTGGGTTGTAAACAAACCAGCAAGAAAGCTTTTTATTAAATGCAGATCAGATCATGTGACTGATTATTAAAAGTTCTGAGAACACTATGACAATAACTTAAACAAATATCATTTCATTAGGCTATATAATGCTAAATTATCACATATTAATAATATATAAATATTAATATATTTATAAATGAAATAGTGGATGGTTAGGAATGGTATGATTTATAAGTATATATATATATAAGCATACTTCAAACTTTTTAGTAATATGTCTATGTGGTTATTTTGTCAGTCTAAATCTAATTTGCTGAATGTGCCCGTGAGTGGTCGCTCTCGGCTTGTTCCCTAGATTTTCACGCAAAACTGCGTCAGGATGTTCAAATACCCCGTATGCATTATGAAGCTCTTTCTAAATCAACTCTTTACTAGTTTATATAGCTAGTTTAAACTTCAAATGCTTCAGACAAAATCCAGATACGGAGAAAGCTAGGTTTAAGTTCATCTAATTTATTTAGCACAGCTTTCTCCCCACTAAACTTTCTTTGAATCTTTCTAAAATGCCGGTGAACATGGCTGGATGCACCACAGACTGCGTGGAGACGCCGATCTCCATCTGCTTCCAGAAGTTCGGCCGCTTTGTGGGAACTTACCCGTGGTGGTTCTTCATCTCTCCTCTGGTCATCTCTGCGGTGTTGGGAAGTGGGTTTTATTTCTTAGAAGATCGTGAGGCCAATGACATTGAGGATCAGTTCACACCTGTGAACGGTCCTGCTAAACTAGAGAGGCAGTTCGTGCAGCAGAACTTTCCGCAGAACGACTCGGTGTTCTCCAACCAGAGACTCTACACGGATGGAGTTTACGCGTCCTTCATAGCGGTGGCAAGATCCTCCAACATCCTCACAGACGCTGTGTTTCAGGAGCTCGTGACTTTAGACAGAAAGGTCAAGGAGCTGAATGTGTCCATGGGTCACGAGGCGCTCACTTTTGAGGGACTTTGCGCGAGACGATACAAGAAATGTACACCCAATAAGATATTGGATATTTACAAATATTATGGTAATGATTTAGAAACGACCGAGCTCACCTTTCCGTTCTTTCGTTTCGGATTCTCGTACATCTTCTTGGGCTATTCGGTTGGTGGAGTGAATATCAAATCTTCTGTTATTAAAAGTGCAAAAGCAGTGCGCTTGTTTTATTTCCTGAAGGAGGATAATCGCTCCAGAACAGATTTATGGCTGAATGAGTTCCTCAAGGTTTTCCCCTCCAATTTATCACTAAACTTCATTAAGGTAGGTCTTATGTACTTTATTGATGACAAACGGGGCTTGTTGTCAAAAGGTCACTGTATATCAGTAACTATAAAGTTTTGAGTTAAAAATTAAGTTGCACAAATGCTTGTTTTTTCTTTTTTATGTCGTTTTCAAATTAATGGTTTATGATGCCATATATTTTGGGGTTAGTTTTACAAGTGCCCTAAGTATGTACTGTTGGGTCTGTTTTCTTCTTCTTCACAAAATGTCATGTTGGGGTAGGTTGTAGCATATTTAAATTTAAATTCTAATTTTATTTTTTATCTAAATGATGCTGGCCTGTAGAGTAGGCTATTTACTGGCAGATTTTTTGCTCCCCTATTGATCAACATTGGCTAAACGAATTATTATTTCTTTTTTTCTGGGCGATATTGGCGGAAATGTTTAAAGGGGTCATATGATGCGATTTCAAGTTTTCCTTTCTCTTTGGAGTGTTACAAGCTGATTGTGCATAGATAAGATCCCTGAAGTTGCAAAGACTAAAGTCTCAAAACCAAAGAGATATTCTTTATCAAAGTTAAGACTCTGCCACACCCCCCTAAAACGGCTCGTTCTAACACGCCCCCACATATCTACCTCACTATGTGGAAATATTAGCATAATGCCGCCCAAATGTTCACGCAAAGAAAGAAGGCGTGGTTTCAGTAACCGCAGTTAGTGTTGAAGCAGCATGTCAGGGAGACGCTGTGTGTTTCTAGGTGAAAGCAAAAGCACTTTATTTGGCCTTCCGAAAGTAGATGCATTTAGAAATCTTTAAGATTACT